TCCACTAGTGTTGTACAAAATATAAATGTTAGATCCATGGGTCCCTTCTCCCCCAGCTCTTCTCTAGGAAGCTCTGCCTCTGTCAGGTCAGGTGTGTTCCCAGGCCCTGCCTGCAACCTCCTTCTCCCTTCTGAGCTTCCCAGCATGGAGATCTAAGAGCTCCTTAGCTTGCTGAGCCAATGCCATTTCCTTCCTTCTAGGTTTTTGTTGTTAGATTATTTTGAGATGAGGTCTTGCTATGTTGTCCAGGTTGGTTTTGAACTCCTGAGCCCTGGGGATCCTCCTACCTCAGTCTCTTAAATACTTGAGACTATAGGCACATGCCATAGTGCTCTGCTAGGCCCCCCAGTTTAACTGTCAAGATGCTGCCCACCTGTGTTAGCTACATCCTTGCTGTCACACCTAGTAGGGGGCTGCCTCTTTCTTTGAATCCTGACTTTGTCCCTGACTAGTATTCACCTTGGACAAGAGACTTCTCTGATAGGTTCTTCATCTATAAAAGGGGCTGCTATAAAAATTAATGAAATAGTTACATATGAAATATGTAAAAGCCTTATATAAAAGGCTTGTGACAGCAGGAACTCATTAAATGTCAACTGCAATTAAAAATGGTAACAATAATGTAATGGTAACCTACATTATTGACTACTTACTGCCACTACCGAGACAGCTTTGGACAACTTCTCTTAGTAGGTTTTTTTTTTTTTTTTTAATTGATACAAATGTACAACATCCTATTACAAAGAGCCAATATGAAGTCTAAATAAGTTAATACATGGGGAAACACAATGTGAGGCAAGTACATTATTATGAAAACTTGCTAGGCAATGCAATACTAAGATACACCAGGTGCCCTTCTCTCTTTCAGAAGAGAAGGTCTAAACAAAACAAGGCAAAGTGAGAGGCTGCAATGAGTGGTTCTACTTCTGCAATAAAGGAGGTGTTGAAGTAGCTGTGGAAAGCTCTTAAGACTGTGGAGTTTTAAGAAGTAGGACCCTAAATATCCCTTTCTGTTTCTGGAGGCTCAGTTTCCTTTGGGTGTTCAACAGACACTCTTGGCTATTTTTATTCAATAGTTTTTTTTTACTTGTCCTACAGAGGCTGAACCTCAGGGTTCTGAGTATAGCATAGAAAAATACAGATATAGAACGAAGAGTGTAGTGAGGACACAGGGGAAGACCTTGTCCTGAGCATGTGGCTCAGGTACACAGTAGATGAGTCTAAATTTGGATTTGGAGGAGAGACCTAGATTAAAGTTCTTGGGTACCACATGCTCTCAGACAGGCCCCTTTCCTTCTGTGGGTTCATTTCCCCACTTATGAAATGAAGGGACAGACAACCCCTGAGACCTCTCACATCTGTACATGTTTTGCCCTAGATCAGTGATGGTGAGTCTTTATTTATTTATTCGATGGAACTGGGGATTGAACTCAGGCCCTTGCGCTTGCCAGGGAAGCGCTTATTCCACTGAGCCATCTCCCCGGCCCCAGTGAGCCTTTTAGAGATTTCAGTGATAACATACAGCCCACTGTGGGACATGTACTATAGGTTTGCCATCACTGTCCTAGATGATTAAGGTTCCAGTCTCAGGCCTATCCTGTACCATCTAAATAATCTTGGGTCAGCCCCTCTGTTCTTTCTTTGTGAAATGAAAATAATGTTACCTACTCTCACAGTAGCAGTGGGGATTAAAGGTGGTTCTGGATGACCATGAGGTACCTATTGACGGGCAAGTACTAGAAGGAGGGACTCCCCTCTTGCTTCCCACCTTCTGAGCTAGAAGGAGTTCTAGTTACTAGAACTCCTGAGTTGAGTAACCATCTTTTTCTTGACCCGAATGTGAGCTCCCTGAAAACTTATTTACTTTTAGTAGATCAAGCATCTCAACCGAAGCCTGGCACAGTAGACCCACAGCAAATATTTCCAAACCGAAAATGGTGGGAGCAAGTATCCCAGGTATGAACAGCCACGGCTCATGCCACCAGGTCCTGTCTTTCCCCTTGTCTACAGTGTAGAAAAGCTGGTGCACACACTTTTGTACCCAACTGCAGGCCCAGACTTTGTTACACCCATGCCATGGTATGTGCCGCAGGGGATGGGAGCACCAGAACCCGCCCTCCTTTCCACTGCCAGTATCCTGCTTTCGTTCACTAGAAGTAGCCTTGGCCAAGCCCAGGAGAGAGAACAGGGAGAAAAAACAAGTGCAGGCATGCAGGAGACAGCCACACCACTTGCTGGGAAGAACACCTGGCTAAAAACTGACGTCACCAATACACATACCCGTGTCAGCCAGAATTGCCTTTGAGGGGTACAACCAGCTAGATGGCCAGAGTTGCTGCCACAGGTATCTTTGAAGAACAGGAAAGTGGACAGGTGATAAGAGGACTGGCCATGACTCTCTAAGCTCTGTTTAGCCACAGAACTCAACTGGGCTCTTAGGCTTACCAGAGACTTCAAAGCTTTGCTTTTAATAACATCTGCTGTTACCTGAGTGCCGACCTTACTCCAGCCACCTTACAGGATGCTTTCCTTACTTTAATCCTGACCATACTATATAAGATGTGAGGATTATCCCTGTTTTACACTGATAGAAGACCAAAAAGTCAAAGTCAAGTTACTTTTAAAATTGCATAA